TGGCAGCACGTGTGGTGGAAGTCGCGCGCAACCATGCAACAATGACGCCATCGTCTGCCATCATCATCCCGGCGCACGGACGATCGATCGAGAGCAAACGTATGTCTATGTACGGAGTACCAGACAGGAAGCCACGGTTGGAACAGGACGGGAAGTATACCTGGCCAACCGGGTCGCACGGCACGGCACTGGCACGAGCACGTTCAGACACGGCATGGCTGGCATAACCGTGCCTAACAGTGCCGCCGTGCCGAGACCTTGGCCCAGGCATGGCCCTATCGGCGGTGAACCGTGCCGTGCCGTGCTGTCGAGCACGGCAGCCTGGCGTGCCCGCGCCGGCGTCGGGCCGCGTCGCCGCCTGAGCTCGCCCTCGCCGGGGCCGTGCCACCCCCTGCGCTCGCCCTCGCCGAGGCCACACTCGATGCCGCAGAGAAGGCCGGATCCGGGAGGAGGGGGCCGGATCTGGGCCATGGCCGCCGGATCCGTCCGCCGCCGCCGTGGATCTAAGCACCGGTGAGGGAGAGGGCGCGCCACTCCATGCCATGGATCCGGGCGCCGCGAAGGCCGGATCCGGGAGGAGGGGGCCTGCTCCGGCGCGCTGCGCCCGCGAAGCCGTACCGCCGCGCCGCACCCAGCTCGCGAGGCCGCACCACCCAACTCGTGAGGGAGAGAGGTGGGGGAGAGGAGAGATGCATGAGAGAGGGGAGGGAGGGAGTCGCGGCATGAGGGAGGGAGGGGGCCGCGGCCTCATGCCGTTTGCGGTGCCCAGAGAAGTGGGCGGGTGAGAGAAGAGAGAGTGAGGAGCTAGGGTTTCCAGTTCCACGATTATATATGACTTGATGCGAATCTAACGGCTCTAGTTTAGTTAGAAGATCCAACGACTGATATTTATCGGGCCAGCATAGTGCCGACCCATGTAGCGTGCCATGCCCATGCCGGCACTACGGGCCAAAATGGTGGCCTAGGCACGGCACTAAGACCGGGCCGTTCCTAGGCCATGCTATTTAGTGCCGTGCTTGGGCTGGCCCATAGTGCCCGGGCCAAATGGCCAGCTATAACGGGAAGTCGGGAAGGTGGTCAAGTGGCGGGATCTCGAGCTCGACTGCTCTCGAGAGAGAGACAAACACGAGTGCCATCTGGGAATCTATCCGCGCGGCAGATGGTGATCGAGGGATTGAAAGGACAAAGGCGGGCAACTCGAATTGACCGGCCGGCCAGGGCCAGCCAGCCGGAGCCGTTACGACGAACTGGTCTGCCTGTAGCGATCGATCGATCATGGTGGCCTAGTGGCCCGGCAGCATTTCCACTCTTAGTCAAGGCGCGGTCCCTGTCCCGCACACCGTACGTCTACCGTCGCTGTTCACTCAACCAGCTTACTAGAATCTACAATATTTCTCTCTCACGATAAAACAGTTTCAGCCGACTTATTAGCCAGCTTATGTATGAGCCGAACATAGCCTTGAGATGAATTAAAGCGTGAACGGAAAATGGATCACGGACGCTGCGTATCTGGAACTAGCCCTGTCGCAGTTGGCCAGCGGTAGCAGCATGGAATAGTGGAATGTGGTGCCTCTTTCCACGATCGAATCCTCATTTCTACGCGTAGAGATTCCTGTTGAGATATCCGCGTAGACTTCGGCCGGCCGGATCTAGGAAGCCCGCGCGGTGGTGATTGAGTTCGTCACGGTTCGGATCCACTGCATGCATATCTGAAAGACGATGCTAGTATTTTGTACGTTCCGTTGCTTCAACTAGCGGGCCGGAGTTTGTGAGGCCATGACGTGACGCCTGACGAGAGACGACGCCTTAATTAATCAGCTGCTGGTGTGGATCACCGGCATGTTCGCTTGTTCTAAATGATCGTAAATTTTTAACTAAAACAGTATTTTTCTCTTATACCAAACCAATCAGTAATAATAATCCACGATCATATAAGATCGTTTCAGCCCTAGCCGAACATCTCTGCGGGTCAGCAGGCGCCAGAGATCAAATGGTTTAATTAACAAGCAAGTCAGCTCTCTACGTGTGTGTATATATATATATATATATATATATATATATATATATATATATATATATATATATAATCACGCGCAAGAATAACCCAACAACTAGCAGCCTGTTCGCTTGTTCGTAAACGATCGTAAATTTCTAGCCGGGAACCGTGTTTTTCTCTCACACCAAACCAGCCAGCAGTAAATAATCCACGATACGATACGGCCTCACGAACAGGCTGTAGCTAACCGGCGCGGCGGATGTGGACAAACGAGGCAAGCTGAAAGAGACAGCTTAATTAGGTTCGGTCCAGATCGATGCCCAGTACTCCCTCCGTCTTAGTGGCTAAGATTTACGTGTCGATAACTTTGACTCGATTTATAAAAAATACGTGCAACATTTTTATTTATAAATAAATTTATTAAAAACATAGATTCAAATATGTATCAATGATACTAATTATGTATCATAAATATTAATATTTTTTAATATATATTTAGTTAAATTTGTTTCTCGAAAAACGAAAACGACGTACATTTAGGGACAGAGGTAGTACGTGTATATACAAAGGCAAGTCAGTCAACCAGTCAAGCTTGATTGCTAGTAGTAGTACTCACTAGATGAGCTGCTCGAAATATCGTTTCATGATCTGTCAAAATCTCACAAGGCTACAGAGTCTCCTTCAATAATAACACATCACTCTCTCTCTCTCTCTAAAAAAAGAGAGTTTTCACATATTATTTTCCGATACAGATACACGCGGAGTGCCTTAATGAGAAAGGAAGCATTCGAGCAAGGAAGAAAACCTACGGCCCTGCTCAGCGCGTCCGTGCACGATTTTCTTCGAAATATCACTAGGTCAGGCCGTCACGGTAGCAATATGACACCCAGCTAAGCTGTAGCTTGGCGACCATGGACACGGAGGTAGTAGAGAGCACGGAGCCACAAATCAGTACTCCGTACGCGCGCACGCATGAGCCACGCCCTTACGCCAACGAGGCTGACCCCGGCCTCTACTTGCTGCACACACCTCTTCCTGTCCATCTGAAACGACGCGCTGCAGCGCGCGCGCGACAGATTCCGTTTCCATCGCTCGGTCTCCTCGGCATCCGCCGTGTCCGTGGTCCGTGCCGGCGGTCCGATGCTTCGTTTCGGTGTTTGTTTTGCTGGCACATCGTTTCCTCCATCGCGGCAGCAGCAGCAGCTACTAGTCGAGTCGACAGTCGTCCATGGTTGGTCACGAACCGTTCAAATAAAGCCTCGGACCGTACCAGAGGGAAATGTCTCCACCTCTGACCACATTTTTGTCAACTGCCGACGACTGGATCGGCGAGCGACGATCGAGCAGCTAGCAATTAGAGGAGCATATGCATGGCATGGGTTGATGTCTCCCTCCTTTCCATGCGCAGCAGCAGTTAATAATGAAAAGGCTAAGAAAACTCTGGAGGACATTGGACATTGATCAAGCTAAGAACACTCTGGAGGACATTGGACGTTGATCAGCACAAACCTAACTAAATAACTAATCCGTTCCTGTCACTGTCATATACATATACACATCGTACTATCAAGAGGGCAACATTGGTGACCAGACAAGGTCCTTATGAGAGAAATCCAAGTGATTAATTATAACACACAAGTGAGTTGGCATTTGATAGAAAAACACGCTAGGCTAGTTTTGCCACAGTAATGGGTAGTTCAAGGATTTCGGCAAGGACGGTTTCTAAAACCATCTAGGTTGGTTTTTACTAACGGATAGTTTTTGGGAGATGTGGGTATACTCTTCCTTTTCTTTACTTTGGGAGATTGCTGGTGTAACATTCATATAGCCTTGAGCGCTCTCCACATCATCCCTCTTTGTGGGATTTGTGTGAGCAGAGTGATAGCCTTTGGATTGCATTATTGGGGTGAGAGATTTGAGCTGTGTAAGCTTGTGAAAGCACTAGTGATCGATGAATCCTAAGTCTTGAGCACTCTGTGACTGCATTGAGCAGCGTGTAGATTATTTGTTACTTTAAAGCTAAAACCTCCTAGACGGTTATACATCATCGGTGAGCACAAAGGTTGTAGAGTTCCGTGGACCAAAACTGCTCATGGGCCCTAGAGGGTTTTGGTGATTTAATGACAAACAATTTAGGAACTAGCAATATATGAGAAATCTTATGAAATAAAATTTGTAAAATTTCACAAAAATAGTAGGTATAGATTTCCAAAGCCTATTCCTCTACTTACTGGTCCGAACTTTTTTTTTTATCCTCCGTGCCATTCCTAACGGAAGCTGACCGGTCTTCAATCTTAGCATATTTCATCACATTTAGCGTTGACACAGTTCACGTTTGAATTTGGCGACCAGCGCATGTGGGGGAAACCAAAATTCATCTATGTCCAACATAAAAAGACCAAGTTATTAGAAGTTTGCATCCGGAAGTTGAATCCATATACGAAAAACAAGTCGGATCTACGCCATCTCAGAAAGAAAAAGGTCTTATTACAGGACGATGATGTTTGAGTTCAATTATAATATATTTCTTGCAGCAATAATGCTCTACGAGTGAAATGCTTATATATTAACTGAAGTCAGCCTCTAATTCCTCGTCAAGTCGTCGGACTCCAGCCCTCATAATTTCTCTCCGTAGCCCTCTCCCGTTAGTTTTCTTGTTCGCAACTACTCTGTAGATAGCTAACAAATTGTTTTTCTAGCGCAAATGTTTGCCAGGTTCATTCGATTTGGCGAGTTTTTTGAGATAATTGTGCGTCGAGTGGGTTCCACGGTATGACACATGGAGATTAGTTTTTTGGTAAAAATATAGCATCGCGTCCGTGTGGACGCACGCAACTTCAACTTCATTACCTACACGCGGAATTGTTCCTTGCTTTGCTTCCATTTCACACAGAGATTGCTGTATATATATACGGCCTGTTACACGGAGATTAACACAGCATTAATTACATACTTAAAGCAACTTTGCTAGAGTGTTCCTAGCATGGCTGCATTTTCCACAAACATGCATAAGCAGCTAGCCGTCCTGCTCGCGCTGCTTGCGGCGCTGGCCATAATCTCTTGCCATGCCGCCGCTGCTTCAGCGGTCAGGACGCAGGTCATCCACACCGATGCCGGGCGCGGCCTGACCCGCCGCGAGCTGCTGCAGCGCATGACGCGGCGCAGCAAGGCACGCGCAGCGCGGTTCCTCGCCAGCTCCTCATCAGCGAGTGCCGCCGTGACCCCGGGGCAGCGCAACGGCAGTGACCCCAGCACGGAGTACCTGGTGCACTTGGGCATCGGAACGCCGCCGCAGCCCGTGCAGCTGACGCTGGACACGGGCAGCGACCTCACGTGGACGCAGTGCCGGCCCTGCACCTCCTGCTTCCACCAGGCCCTGCCGTACTTCGACCCCTCCCTCTCCTCCACGTTCCAGGAGCTCTCCTGCGGCAACGAGACGACCTGCGTCTACACCTACTCCTACGGTGACAACTCGACGACCAACGGACAGCTCGACGCTGAGACGTTCACGTTCGTGGCCGCCGATGGGCGCACGGCCACGGCCGTGCCTGGCCTGTCCTTCGGCTGCGGCCACAACAACAGTGGGATCTTCACGTCCAACGAGACCGGCATCGCCGGGTTCGGCCGCGGCTCCCTGTCCCTGCCGTCGCAGCTCAAGGTCGACAACTTCTCCTACTGCTTCACCGACATCACGGGATCGGCGCCCAGCCCAGTCCTGCTGGGCCTGCCGGCGAACCTCTACAGCAGCGCAGGTGGCGCCGTGCAGACCACCCCGCTAATCCAGAGCCCCAAAATTCCATCTTTCTACTACCTGTCGCTGAAGGGCATCACCGTCGGGTCCACGAGGCTGCCGGTGCCGGAGTCCGCTTTCGCGTTGACGAACACCGGAACCGGCGGGACGATCATCGACTCTGGCACCTCCATCACGACGCTGCCGCTCCAGGTTTACCGGCTCCTCCGGGCCGCGTTTGTCTCCCAGGCAAAGCTGCCCCCTGCCCCTGCGGAGGCCAGCAACGCGACGACGGACACCGATCTCATCTGCTTCGTGCTGCCGTCGTCGGGGGACAGGCCGGAGTTGCCCAAGCTGCTGTTCCACTTTGAGGGCGCGACGCTGGACCTGCCGCGGGAGAACTACATGTTCGAGATGGAGGACGCGGGCCGCAGTTTCACCTGCCTTGCGATCAACGCTGGTGGAGACCTGATCATAATAGGCAACTATCAGCAGCAGAACATACACGTGCTCTACGACCTGGTAAATAACAGGCTATCCTTCGTCCCTGCTCAGTGTGAAAGGCTTTAGAGTTTAGATAGACTCGACTACTTACTGCAATCGTCCTGGCCCCTGCCGTTTTGCATACGTATTTACCGACTTGTGCTTTCATTTTTTTATATTATATTATATTATATAGGATGCGAGAGTTTCAAATGTTATTAAGGTTTTCTATTGTGAAAGTTTCGATGTTTAGCCAATTCTTGTCCAAGTTTTAATGCAAGTCCAAAAGTATGTCTGATCCGGTTGCCACCATCTTCATTGCCATTTTCCAAATACTGCCATGCTTGTGGCAAACTAGATGCTAAACTTCAAATAAAAAAAACCAAAACTAAAGCGAAAATGTTGTGGTGTGAGTGTCCGATGTCGTCTTTCTAGGCCTGCGCGCTACTAGCCCAATAAGCTTGCTTGCTCACCTACGTCTCTTCCATCTTTCTCAAAAAAATCTCATCACTCCACCTCGGGCCGTCAAGGCTTCACCGCGTTGTGCGGCTGTGCGTCTGCCCCACTCCTCACCGCTGCGCGACCATCCCCATCCCCCCCCCACACACCATCCTGCGCAGCGCCACCCAACTTCGTCTTGCCGCCGCAGCCATCCCCCGCCGCGCGCGCTCCCATCCCGCGTCGCGCACGCAGCGTCCCCGGCCGCGCCCTACCTCGATCCCACTAGGAGAATGAAGGTCGCCGTCATCCGAAGACAGGGAGCCGTGCCACCACCGACCCGACACCCAAGCTTCCTGTCGTGGCAGGCTATGGCCGCCAGCGATGCCGTGTTTTAGGTGTTTCAGACATATGTTTTAAGTGTTTCATCTAGATATTGCATATGTTGCAATAGCTATAGCATGTTGCAAGCGTATGTTTCGTGTAGCAAGTGTTTGTTTCATATTGCAAGCGTCTGTTTCAAGTGTTTTCAGATGTATGTTTCAAGTGTTTCATCTGATTGTTGCAAAAGTAGATCTGAATGTTGCATATACATGCATGTTGCAAGCGTATGCTTCCAAGTATTTCAGGTTTTTCATACGCATGTTGCAAGTGTTTCATCTAGATATTGCATATGTTTGCAATGGCTTTCAAGCGTTTTCAGGTGTTCTGCAATTGTTTCTGACGTATGTTACAAGTATTTCAGCCGTTATAGAATTATGTTCCAAGTGTTTCATCTGTATGATGCAAAAATAGATCTGATGTTGCACATGTTGCAATGAGACCCATCTGCCGCAGTCACTAGAGCGCCGCCGAGCGATCGTAGACGGTCCCACGTGCAAGCACGTGGGAAGTGGTGGGGGCGTAGGCGTCCCCGTGCGCAATCTGGCAGTGCATGCGACGCCCGTGCGGCGCTGGACCCCACGTAGGCGTGCAAAACACAGGCACGGGAAACGGAGCGGCAAGGGCGCACAGCAACCGGTGCGGGCATCCGTCTGGACATCTAGGCGCTAGCCTGTCCCAAACTAGAAATCTCTAGAAAGTTATAGATCTCATCGAGCACTAGTTTTACATCTCTCCTTGAAAGTCATTGATCAGGCCGGTTACAGAAGGCACACTGTACAGCTTTGACTGCGATACAACAAGAAAAATTGGTAGTGAATCTCGTACATCGAGCATCTGTGCCAGGTATCGACTCACCTCACCAGTCGTCATCCCATCGCACCCCATGTTTAGCAGCGAGATAATAAGCATTGATAGGTCCTCTGTCCCCAGCCTCGTAGAGCTCAGGAGCAACTCTGTTCTGGTCGATCTCATGGATTATCGGAGTCAGCACGTTCCATGCAGCAGCCAGCTCATCGCTGCGCATGAATAAATGACTATCTCCATCTAGCACGTCCAGGAGAAGATGTTCATATGAATCTGGTACCACCTCGGTGTTGTACCTACACATCAAAGATCATGGTTTAGTGACAGTTCTATTGAATAGATCATAAGGTGACCCAAAAGATTTCCATACCTATCCCGGTAAAGCAGGTTCAGTTCTGAAGCATCCAGTTGGAGCCCAAGCCCTGGGACCTTGTTGTTGACTTTTAACAGGATTGCTTCCTCAGGTTGATCGCGTAGAACCAGCTCGTTTGTGTCGAGATCTATGTCATGACCAAAACGTTCACAGTAGATATTACCAGGGACATGGCGAAACTGAATTCGAATTTCAGCTCTGAAGGAAATCAATGATTAGACGACTTCAGTCATGCTTGATCAATTTGTCAGGTGATAGCTTTTCTAGAAGAAAATGGTAATATTCTTTGATAAAAGTGTGGCAATCTTGCGAAAACTATCAACAGAGTGATCAGAACAGGGTGAACTACTGAAACATTTGATAAAAGAAAAAAGTCTACATAACACCCCCACACCCCCCCACCTATTCAGGGTAGACTACTTCACACCCCAAATTATAAAACCGGATTTTCTACCCCCTGAACTTTCTAAAACCGGTCAAATAACCCCCCAAGCGGTTTTGGACGGTGGTTTTGTCTTTTCCTTTTTTATTTATTTTCGCTGAATCTTTGAAAAATCATAGTAAATCACACAAAAATCATAAAATGGAAAATCCAATTATGTTGGACTCCACATGAGTAGATCTACACAGTGAACATATAATATGGTATGCTTTAGTACAAAGTTTTTGCTGTAGCTTTAGATCTATACTTTTCTGTAATTAATTGAAATAATTCATAGCTGCAGCTTCTATGCATATGATTCAATTCCTGATTCTACCTTTTGAGATGTTAGGTTATAAAAATGCAATAAGATCATAACAGCACAGTGCTACAATGTGGTGAGTTGGTGACTGAAATCAGAAAGTAACTATTGGAACGTTTGCTAATAGAAGTTATGGAACTCATTGAATGTACCTATTCTTCATAAGCCCCATGCCTGTCCTGACAAAAAATGGTACCCCATCCCAGCGTGCATTGTCAATGTACATAGCAGCAGCAAAATAGGTTGGTGTCATGGATTTTGTGTATCTGTCAACTTTACCAGACGTATCTTTAAGTTGACCAAGAACAACATCCTCAAGTTCCACTTTCCGAATTGATCTGAGAACCTTCACCTGCACAAGTGGAAGTTCTTATGATCCTGTATCAAAACCAGCACTTTCTAACTTCTATTTAGCACAGTAGTGCCGATTTCCTATGTTAAAAGGATTATACCACCTTACCTTTTCATCTCGGATATCCTCTCCATCAAGACTTACAGGTGGTTCCATAGCAAATAGAGCTATTGTTTGAAGAATGTGACTGTGAACTATGTCACGGATTATCCCATAATTTCCAAAGTACCTAAAAGGGAATATTGTTTTAAACTAAATGATCCAGAATTAGAATGCCAAAACATGAATATATTTTCAATAAAGAAAACCAGGATAAGAGATAATTTCAAAAGTTAAACAGAAGAGACTATTGTAAAGTTCAAACAAACCCAATAATGACCTACTCACGCAGAGTCAGTCTAGAGATTGTGATAACATGTATGGTTTTACATCATTCAAGACTGCTAAGGCAATTCGATAGTATTAACTCACCTCCCTTGTATTTCATTTGATGTTTCTTCAGAAAAATGACCTGACACAATTCACACACATTACTACATGATCCAAGTATATAAAAAATAATAAAGCATGTGCTAAAATGAGTCTTCAAGTGTACCTGCACATTCCGTATGTAAGTTCGACTCCACAAAGGTTCAAACACCAAATTAGAAAATCTCAAGACAGTAAGATTTTCGATCAGATCCTTCCCAGAAGGTGGTCAATTCTATGGGATAAAAGATGTAGCAACAACAAATTGTCATGTTCTTCAAACATTGCAGTTAAGAAAAACAGTCACAAAGCTTTGTAATTGAACAATCCAAAAAAGGGAAGACCAGCTAAGATTGGAGGGATTAAAGGTGGAATAGAACCTGTAAATTTGCTTCTCGTCAAATCTTGACAGCATAGATTGTGTTACCTGCTGTGAGGACAAACCAGTAAAGCCAAATGGTTTCTCGATAATTATTCTATTCCAGCCTAGCTTAGTTTGGGCACCGTCAGCCAGTGGCAATGCTACATCAAGGAGTGCCTCTTGTGGAACAGCAAGGTAGAATATTCTGTTTGCAGCACCAATGCCCTGTGAAACAAAAATGGAGTGTGATGGAACTTAATGAATGGGATTTATATTTCAAGTTTCCCAAAAGATTCAGAAACAGTTATGAGATCAAATTCTACCTCTAACTGTTCCATCCTAGAATTTAATCTGACCATCCCTTCTTTGTTGTCATGTCCGGCATCTACATAATACGTCCTTTTGAGGAACTCACTTAACTTGTCATCACAATTTTCACTGCATTCACAATAAACATCAGGACACATTCTTCTTAGTTTGGCAAAGCCTTTTTTTCTACGACAGTAAAACTGTGTTTTTTAAGGGACAGTAAAACTATGTTAGTGCATGCACTGAAAACTTTGGAAGAAGCAAAGTGGTGTCAAGCCTATGTTGTCTCAACATAGCAGGTCCCAAGCCCTGGTAAAGGAGGAGGGTTGTGATAGGCGTGGCGAGCCAGCGTTAAATCTAGCCATTCTAATGGAGATGAAACCTGAAAGAAAACCGTTGGGGCATAACCCTCTTAGCGACACGCCATATCGGAACCCGGGTATGGTGTTAAATGGGCAAGGGCCGGGTCGGCACCCCCTTGGTGACGCGCCGTGTCGTGATCTGGGTATGGTGTCAAGTGAGTAAGGATTGGGTCGTCGCTTCCTTAGTGGCGCGCTACATCGGCGCTCGGGTGTAGTGAAAAATGAGTAAGGGTCTTCACATCTGAGTCGATGGGTGCGAAGGGTAAGGAAGCTAGTCGAACCAACTAGAATCCGTTTAGGTAGTTGGAATGTAGGGTCGCTTACAGGTAAGTTAAGAGAATTAGTTGATACCGCGACTAGGAGACGTGTAAATATATTATGCGTTCAAGAGACTAAATGGAATGGTCAGAAGGCGAAGGAGGTGGACAATACAGGTTTCAAGCTTTAGTACATAGGGACAGTCGTGAATAGAAATGGAGTAGGAGTTTTGATTGATAAGAGCCTCAAAAATGGTGTGGTGGGAGTGAGAAGGCAAGGAGAAAGGATTATCTTAGTCAAGCTTGTCGTTGGTGATATGGTCTTGAACATAATTAGTGCGTATGCCCCCCAAGTAAGCCTCGACGAGAGTGCTAAGAGACAGTTCTGGGAAGACTTAGATAGCCTGATTAGAGTTGTACCTAATAGTGAGAAGCTTTTTATAGGAGGAAATCTTAATGGGCATGTAGGTACTACAAGCGCAGGTTTCGAGGCAGTTCATGGAGGTTTTGGGTATGGTAGTAGGAATCAGGAGGGTGAGGAAGTTCTGGACTTCATGGTAGCTTTTGACCTGATGATAGCCAACACTTTCTTTAAAAAGAGAGAATCTCATCTAGTGACTTTCAGTAGCGGACAACACTCTAGCTAGATTGGCTTTGTCCTCGCAAGAAGAAAGGACAAACGAGCATGCTTGGGTTGCAAGGTGATACCAGGGGAGTGTGTTGTTTCTCAACATAAACTTTTGGTGGCAGACTTTCGTTTTCAGGTGCGCGTCCGTAGGGATAAACAAGCTAAGATTGAAAGAACAAAGTGGTGGAAACTGAAAGGGAAGACGTCAGAGGTATTCAGGGAAAGGGTTATCAAAGAGGGCTCTTGGAAGGAAGAAGAGGACATAAACAACATGTGGGAGAAGATGGCAACAACATTCGGAAGGTGGCCTCAGAGGTGTGTTGAGCAATGTTTTCAGGTCGTCTAGTCGAACCTAGTCGCTATAGGACCGACCAGGCGACTAATCGTGATTAGTCGTCGACCAGGCCGATTAGTCGAGCCTAGTCGACCCTGGTCGTCCATATAATCGCCCTATGCATCGTGGACATATACATACTATATATATACCTATATGTACTATATAGTGTACACAATATAGCAAGCATCAAGACTACATTAGTGTTTAGCAAGTGACTTACTTGTGGGAGTTGTTTTCTTGCCTTTTCTTCACTGTCCAACCGTCCCAAACTCCATTCCTTTGCGACTTGTTCTTTGGAAGCTCTGCAATAGCCCTCTCAACTAGTGTTGCAACATCTCGGACTAGTGAGGAAGCCGTGGCAAATGTTTTCCGACCAGGATGATGAATGTAGAACACCTCCGTCAAGGTCGGGGCATCGGCATTATCACTTCCACATTTGCACGTCGTCGCTCCACAGCTATACAAGCACAAGGTCGATAGTTAGCGGCATTACTAGCGAGCAGAGCGGGATGCAGCCATGTAGGTCGGAGAGCGGATGGGGAGGGAAATGGACATACAATCGTCAGAGCAGCTCATCACCAACGAAAGCGGAGGGCGGCACCTTCAGCCCTTCAAATCGAGAGGAATGTAGCTCTAACTCTGAGCCCCTGACCCCGAGAGAACATGAAGCATCCAAATCGGAGGAGTAGAGATGAGAGGGCGAGAGGAGGCGGGATGAGGGAAGGACTGAACGCAGCAGGGAGGCAGCAAACAAGGGAATAGATCGCGAGAGGGCGGCCACTGCTTTGGAGCAGAGGGCGGGGAGAGACACTGGCGAAGGTGGCGAGCGACTGTGCACTGTAAGAACGGGGCGGGCGGGCGCAGAGCCGCAGATGGCCACCACCGTGGAGCAGAGGGGCGAGCGGATCAATGCAGATGGCCGCGGGAGATCAGATGCAGAGGGTCAAGGCGGCCACCCATGGGAGCAGGTGGGCGGGGGACGCCGGGCGGGAGGGCAGCCGGCAGAGAGAAGCCAGCAGGGCGCCGCCACACCGGAGCGAGGCGGCGCGACTTCATGAAGTCGCGAGTCGCGAGTCGCCGGGCGGCGGCGGTATTAATTCCGTGAAATTTTGTCGCTACCACCAAAACCCTTATCCTCCCACTTCGCACTCCGTGACCAGCGCGTGACCCCAGCAGCTCAGGCTGCTGCGTTTTCGGCGCTCAAGGCCGCCTTCGCCCATGCCACAGCAGCGAAAAAAAAAACAGCCAAAACTAGTCGTCCCACCCCTAATCGGACGACTAATCGCGATTAGGCGACGATTAGTCGGACGACCGTGCCCCTAATCGAGCTAATCGGGTCGAGGTCCCTAATCGAGCACCCAGGACCGATTAGGACGATTAATCGCGATTAATCGCGATTAATCGGACGACTTGAAATCATTGGTGTTGAGTAACCAAAGAAAGTGGAGGTGAGGCTAAAGATACTTGGTGGTGGAACGAGAAAGTCCAAAGAGCTATTAAGGAGAAGAAAGAATGTTATAGACGCTTGTACCATGACATGAGTGTGGACAACATAGAGAAGTACAAGGTAGTAAAGAAGACTGCAAAGCGAGCTGTAAGTGTGGTAAAGGGTAGAGCGCACGAGGATCTTTACCAATATTTGAGTACGAAGGAAGGAGAGAATGACATTTATAGGATGGCTAGAGTTCGTGAGAGAGAGACAAGGGACTTCAACCAAGTTAAGTGCATTAAGGATGAAAGAGAGCATCTCTTGGTGAAGAAGGATGAGATCCGACATCGATGGCCAGAGTATTTTGATAAATTGTTCAATTGTGAGAATACGGACACAACCTTTCAGTTGGATGACTCTTTTGATGACACTAATAGGCACTTTGTGCGGAGAATCCAAGAATCTGAGGTCAGAGAGACGTTGAAAATGATGAAAGGAGGTAAGGCGATGGGACCAGATGGTATCCCAATCGAGGTGTGGAGATGTCTCAGGGACATAGCTATAGTATGGCTAACCAAGCTGTTCAACCATATTTTTCGATCGAACAAGATGCCTAACGAGTGAAGGAGAAGTATATTGGTACCAATCTACAAGAATAAAGGGGATATTTAAAGTTGTACTAATTACCGGGGAATTAAGTTGATGAGCCATACTATGAAGCTATGGGAGAGAGTTATCGAGCATCGCTTGAGAGCAATAACGCGGGTCTCTGTGAACCAATTTGGTTTCATGCCCGGAAGGTCAACCATGGAAGCTATTTTCTTAATAAGACAAGTTATGGAGCGGTATAGGGAGAAGAAGAATGACCTACACATGGTTTTTATTGACTTGAAGAAGGCTTATGATAAAATACCAAGGAATGTTATGTGGTGGGCTTTGGACAAATATAAAGTCCCGACGTCATTAAGGACATGTACAACAATGTTGTGACTAGTGTTCGAACAAGTGATGGAGACACGGATGAGTTCCCGATTAGGATATGACTATATCAAGGGTCAACTTTGAGCCCTTATTTGTTTGCCTTAGTGATGGATGAGGTCACAAGGGACATACAAGGAGACATCTCTTGGTGTATGCTTTTCGCGGACGATGTAGTGCTAGTTAATGAAAGCCTAAGTGAATCAGAAACTGGAGTTATGACGGAAGACTTTGAAGTCCAAAGGTTTTAGACTCAATAGAACTAAAACTGAGTATATGAGATGTGACTTCGGCACTACTACTCGGGAGGAGGAAGATATTAGTTTGGAATATCAAGTAGTGCCTAGGAAGGATACCTTTCGATATTTAGGATCAATGATACAGAGAGACGGGGATATTGATGAAGATGTTAGCCATAGAATCAAAGCAGGGTGGATGAAGTGGCGCCAAACATCTGGTGTCCTATGTGACAAAAGGGTACCACAGAAGCTAAAAGATAAATTTTATAGGATGGCGATTAGACCTGCTATGTTGTATGGTGCAGAATGTTGGCCTACGAAAAGATGACATATTCAATAGATAAGTGTCGCGGAAATGCGTATGTTGCGTTGGATTTGCGGTCATACAAGAAGGGATCGAGTTCGGAACAATGATATACGTGATAGATTAGGGGTAGCACCAATTGAAGAAAAGCTTGTCCAACACCGGTTGAGATGGTTTGGACATGTCCAACGGAGACCTCCAGAGGCACTAGTGCGTAGTGAAATCCTAAGCTAGGATAGTAACGTGAAGAGAGGCAGAGGAAGACCGAAGTTGACTTGGGTAGAGGCAATAAAAGGGGACTTGAATGGATGGAATATACTCAAATACTTAACCTTAGATATGAGTGCTTGGAAAACAGTTATTCATGTGCTTGAACCTTGATTGCTTCTGCTGGGTTTCAACTCTAGCCTACCCCAACTTGTTTTGGACTTAAAGGCTTTGTTGTTGTTGTTGTAAAGTGGTGTCAAGCACCACCCTAAACAACAGATCGCTTGGTCTAAAACCATGCTTTGCAGCTTATTAAAGGCATCATAATAATGGGTTGGCTATAATAATTAGTTATATTGATCTCAAAGCTATAAAGGGAAATAGTATAGATACTAAATTCGGTGCTAATTTTTTGTCAATGCAACTGCCATGACAAAAAATATCATATGAAAAGTTGCCAAATAACATACTGGTGATCCACCCGGCAGGTCAAATTGGCTTCAATTATAGATCTTAAGCCCTCATCTGTTAATTTCTTCCTAGAATACCCAAATATACCAACATTCTGCAGCATAAAAAATGAAAATGAAAGGTGTAACATGAAAGTGACAGTAGCAGAAGCTATTCTATGTTCATACCTGAGGAAGAAAACCACTGTAATACAGAGCAAATAGTGCTGGAAAAACTTTAGTTCTTGCCAGCTCGCCCGGTAGCTCAATCACAGCAATGCAAAGAGATGGTTCATTGTTGGAGTGTCTTCTGGGCACAGCAGACTCTTCCTTTTGAACAGGAGAACTGATTTCAGAGGGATGTGTCCCTGAGGCACTGATTTTCCTGATCAGTTGAACTATCCAAAGTATCAGAGCTTGTATTGACCATTTCACCTCCAGAATCTGCATAAAGGGGAAACAGTCAGGTAAACATGAAACCATAAAGACAAAAATTCCCAAGAAGTTTGCAGTAAAAAGTAGTTGTAAGATGATATGACAAAGAAAGTTTCTCTTGAGCTTTTTTATTTATTTATAATGCTAATGCAAATTGAATGTAACTATCAAAGGTATGAAGCAATCCAGTGTCAGCAGCACTGAGGAAATCATAAGGCATTAGGACAATAGTGACAACTATGATAAGCACATCTGCACATGCAAAGTAACGGAACTCAAGACAACTGATTTCCCAATAGAGTGCCAACCATAAGCAAGATGCATGTTCCAATGACTTCTCTTTTCAATCAGAGATGCAGCCTCCAAGTAATCTGGAACTTTATCATTCCCTCGAGCATCTAGATTTCTTTGAAGTTGCCATCCATGATGCCTCTTCAACGCCTTCCGGAGTTTCAGCTTTGCAGCAATCCAGCACCTCAATCCACAAGCTTGTGTTCTGAAACTTGGAGCAGGTCCTGCAACCTATGTACAGAAGCATTAAGTAGAAAGATCAGTAGATGAATGTAGCAATGTGTAAATACCAAATAGTAATAAACTAAGAAACTCCACGCCATCATCAATGCCTAATAAATCGGATGTGATAGATTCCTCTGTCAGCCACCAAATGCGAAGCACTTTTTTTGCAAGACTTCAATTGAGGCCCCGTTTAGATCCAAAATTTTTTAGATTTTGGCTACTGTAGCACTTTCGTTTGTATTTGGCAATTAGTGTCTAATTATGGACTAATTAGGTTCAAAAGTTTCGTCTCGCGATTTCTCACCCAACTGTGCAATTAGTTTTTTTTTTCGTCTACATTTAGTACTCTATGCATGTGCCGCAAGATTCGATGTGACGGATACTGCATAAAATTTTTTGGAATCTAAATGGGGCCTGACTAACGGTGGGGAAAGGGAGACAAGTTTTTTATTCATGTACTGCACAACATAAGGAAAACATAGCATTCAAACCAACAAATAATCTCTCCCATGTTATGGATTGATTATTGATGCAACAGGAGTTCTGTCAACCAAACGCGTTCACATAAAACCAGCACACCTTTTTTGTGTGCCGCATCCTCGAATATCGAAACAGGAGCATGTTGGCACGTTCAATTCAATGTGCCCCTTAAGTTGTCCTGAACAATGCCCCAGCACTACCCGCAACCCCCCACACACCCCAAACCCCAACCCCACCTCCGGCACGGGAGGGAAGGGAAGAAAACAGCATCATATGGAACCCGTGGCAAAAACGAGAGCATAGATGATGTTATAAACTTGAGACTTTTCCCTGTGTGCCATTATAAAATATCATAATCCCTTGTATGCCCCTAGAAAAATTCAGCGGTCTTCAACGCCACTACTCTAACTTTTTCGGGTCCTCCATGCCACTTCCGTCGGTTCAGGCTTTAGCATGTCAAACCCATGAGTGTGAAAAGGCGAAAATGCCCTTAAGTTCAAATATGTTATTAATATTTTTTGAGCATCTTAACGACTTCAAATGAAAAACTCAAAACTAGAAAGTTGTAGATCTAAATCGAGATCTATAATTTTCATATAAAATTTATTTTCATTTAATTTCGCAAAAAAATATGATGATTTTTCTAAGATATATTAATCATATTAAATCATATTTTTTTGCGAATTAAATGAAAATAATTTTATATGAAAATTATAGATCTCGACGAGATCTACAACTTTCTAGTTTTGAGTTTTTTCATTTGAAGTCATTAAGATGCTCAAAAAAAATTAATAACATATTTGAACTTAAGGACATTTTCGTCTTTTCACACCTGCTGTTTGACGGCGTTAGAGCCTGAACTGACGGAAGTGGCATGGAGGACCCGAAAAAGTTGGAGTAATGGCGCTGAAGACCGCTGAATTTTTTCAGAGACACACAAGGAATTGCGATCTTTTATAATGGCACACATGGAAAAGTCTCTATAAACTTGCGTTCCAGGGCCAAGAAAGGCCAGCAAGGATCACACGCTGGCACGGGCGAACCAAAGCTTCGCCAACCACCCCGTGAATCTGCGACTTCGTCTATCGCTTGAGAGAAGCAACAAAGAGTAAAGTGTGACAAGCACGGGCACGTACTGCTCCAGAACGCTACCACACAAGCGCCCAGCGAATTGGTGGAGGCATTTCATCGAGCAAGCTAAACGCCTAAGCGCGCGCGCCGGAAGGGAAGAAAACCAGCACTTCATCCTGGCACCGAATGGCGAATACAATACCACAGGCGCTCGTGGCGAGTACTCACCGGGGTGAAGCGCGAGGTCGCCAGCGAGGACCAGGAGGACAGCGCCGGAGCTGCGGACGCCGACGCGGCGAGCCCTGACATCTTCGGCGCTGCTCGCTTGCTTGGTGCTGCGGTACTTGCTGACTTGCCTGCTCCCTCCGTCAGATCGCCTCGACCAGTACTGGGAACGAGGAAGTGAAGAAGACTATTGCTCGTGGCAGCTTGTGACGGGGAAAATGGATAGCGACAGTGTATGCTGGACCGGCCTATGCTGGACCTGAGGCTGGACTCCGGAGCCGCCGTCGAAGTTGAATCGATGTATGAGTAGCTGTACTGACACAATACACACACGTCGACGATGTCGTGTATAAAGCAACGGGTGAAATTCTTGGCTAGCCGCCTGGATGCTTTACCAGAATTTAAAGAAAAATACTGGAGTCTACAAGAATCAAAAGCATAGGCATTCGGCAGCCTGTTCGGGGGACCGTATCGTATCGTGGATTATTTACTGCTGGTTGGTTTGGTGTGAGAGAAAAACACTGTTCTCGGCTGAAAATTTACGATCGTTTACGAGCAAGCGAACAGGCTGCGGATCTTGCCTAGATACTTGTTGCTACTCATCGAGAACTCGTGAAAGAAATGTTTACAGAATCCAGAGTCAAAATGTGTACTAAATTTAATGTCACAGAATTCATCCTCAAAAATGTTTAGCAAATTTTACCATCATAAGGAGCTCCTCGAAGCACAATCTCTGGTAGCCTCTGGACTATGGTGAATCCCTACACCTCTCCTGAAGCTTTCTTTGTTCCGTATAGACCCCAAAAAAGCACTTCAACCGAATATTCAAAGCGACATGACAAGCTTCTGCTGCTCGTTTCCAACCAATATATAGACGCTGGATATCCTTCCAGCACTTATGTACGTCTATTTTTATTGCTAATACAATTATACAATATGTCAATCATAAATTCATGATTACTTACAAGTTAATCCAAGCTTTACCCTAACTTGTACAACACTGAAGCACAATATGAGACCAGAAGATGTTAATACAGCTTGTACAGAGAGGACTGACCCTCCAGTCATCTGCAAATGCGTTGCGAGTTTGAAGCCAGCAGTCCCACATTCACAGATCATCAGTTCATGGAGTGACCCCAACGTGGGTGATGTTACTCTCGTGGCCTAGCAAGCCAAAGAGAACTCAGGGCGCGCAAACGTGAAAAGTAGTCATGGATTGCAAGAAGCGCGCGAGCGGCTTGTCGGATTGTCAGGATGCGTTGCATCTGATGCAAGGTCTGCTGTCGTAGATTGTCAGCCTAATGCAAATAGAACATCAAAGACTTCAGAGCTAGAAACATCAAGAGCTACATACATATTGCTTAGAAGTAGGGAAAATGTATCGAATCAAATGACATGAAACAACAAAACTAAATGTTTGACAGGGTTAGAGGTATCAGGAAGTTACCTGACGAAGGAAATTCTCGAGTGTACCAAGTTTTCCCATGGCCATAGCCATTTGACCCATATAGTTTGCCACGTTCCCAGAAGATCCTGATGGACCAAGGGACCCAGCCAGCGTTTCTGCCAACGATTGCTGCAATGCTTCCATTCCTTGTGACAATGCATCCTCAGCCTGCTGGGAGGATTGCTGGAGATTGGATAGCCCCATCAATTGTTGCTCAGTTAGAGGCTCAAGCTGATTCACAAGGAGCTGCAATTTTACAAAAGTGTAAGGAATAGTTCATCTTGAAGCAGAAACACCCATTGAATGGTACGAATTGTATAAAAAAAACTCACACCCTACTAAGGAAAATACTCCTGCTATAGGCTATAATTGTAAATTGTTTTGGGCATCTACACAGCACTCGTTTTCGGGGAAAATCTATTAGAGTCACAAATTGGTAAATGCCATTGGATGTGACAACAGCATGCAGGACCTTGAGATGCATGTCATCATGTCATTGATACATTGGGGGATACCTTGTAAATTACAGTCCTGATATCTGGTGATGAAATTGGTGGTGGTGGTGGTGGTGATGCGCGCGTGTGTGCTGTGGTGGTGGTGGTTGTGGTGTGTGGGGGTGTCCGTCATTTTGAGGCAGATACTAGAACTATTTGAAATAAAAGGCGGTGTGATATAATTTGATCTACATCATATGCATGCACCTTTAGAAGCTCAGACGAACGGAAACCCCCAAGCCACAAGAAGCACCTTTCAGCAGGTGTTTTCCACATGCCTGAAAGTATATGGAACACATCAGCCTTTGCAGCAATGCCCTTCAGCCTGAATATCTCATCATAATGTGCCATTATCCCATCGACGATAAGACGGAGGTCACTATCACTTGCATGAGCATTTACTGCAGTCCTCAGCTCATTTATCTGCTTATTTTGTTCCTCTTGCCATCGAGAATATTCTAAATCGAAGGTCATAGCTCCTGCAGAGATGAGCTTACTTCGTCAGCTACACTCCTTTGAAGCACTTGAGCATTACAATGATATAAGGTTGCAAAAGCAATTAAAGGATGTGTGGGGGTGTGCATGAGAGAGAGAGAGAGAGAGGTTACCATTTCCACTCATAGCATGGGTTTGATCTCCGGAACTGGATATGAAGATTCCCTACAATAATTGTTCAAGAAACAAAATTCAAAGAACCGTCTGAGACTTGTCAGCAAAAAAAAGTGCTCCAATATCAACCAAATAAACACACCTGTTGTCGAGCTTTCTGGAGTTCTTGCTCCAGGCTTGCAAGTTTTAGCTTACTGCTCTCTAACTGTTGCACATATGCCTTTGAAAACAACAAATATTAGAAGGGGCTTATAGCAAATAAATAAACCTGAAAGTGAACAAAGAAAAACTAGTGGACACACTTCAATCTACATAATCAAGTTGCTTATCTCTAGATTGCAACAGATTAGGAAACAAGGAGTGCCTTTGTGGTTACTTTATTCTCAAAGCCAAGGTATCTTTTGTCTTTTTCTCAATTTTTTGAGAATATCATGAAACATGGAAGAAAATGATGGGATCCAAACTTCCGAAGTTCTAAATCACACACACTTGCAGGCTATCAGAGTAACTGCACCACCATACAGTATGATCTCCCTGATGCACAAAATGAAACTTATCCATACTACACAATCACAAACCATAGCGGATGACAGGAATTGACACCGACTCGGGCACTCACACCTCTCTACCTAACACATTACACGCCCAGCATATGTGTTGTGTGCATTTGTAGAAAAAATCAATATGGAGTTCTCTTCTTTTCCCTTGAAAAGACAGGTATCATTATATTAAGAAAAAAAAGGCAGAGGTCTCGTTTTCCACGAAGTCACTGAAGTCATTCTTTGATGCAGAGTTGTTTTGCGTAGAAGCTCACAAAAATGTGCAAGCATAGAAGTCATAAAATAAACGCGATATCACATACAGCGCACGTAAATTGGTACAATTTAGACTCTATTTAAGAAATTAGAATTATATAGGTGTCAATATTCGAGAGTTGATGCATCAATCTAACAAAACCAAATTGTTAGCCTAATTTACAAAGTAATTATCAGGAGAATATTAGGGCCTGTAGTTGACAGGACAGATTAAAGCTCAAGTAGAATGGACTGTGGTTTGCTTCACCCCTGATGACAACTAGGCAGATAAACCTCACAGTCCTGACTCACACTAGCGCATATACATGCATGCATCAGGGAGTGACACACACTGCACAAAAATGTAGCAATAGCTCCCAGATGTCCACAGTCATGCTAATAATACCTTTTTTCTCAACCGACTTTTTCTTGCTGCCTCACGATTTTGGGCAAGCCGTCGCAAAACCTACAGAATACCAAATGCATTATCTAGATACCATCATTGTGAAATGGTAACAAACACTAAAGAGTACAGAAGACATAGGAGATGAAATTTATACCTTTTGGTCCATAGGTTTGTCAGATCTGTCAGACCGATCAGATGAATTAGAAGGCAGGACCATAGCTCCACCCTGTCCATTTTCTAACTGCAGAGGTTGATTAAGATAAGTTACAGACATTCATTGTTTATGCATGAAACTATAACGTAAAGGAAAAAATGGCATGCAGTGGTATATAGATGATGGATTTTTTTAATTTTGCATAGACAATAGATGAGTGGAATAAATAACATATAATGACATCACAATGACATAACCACTTTACATGCATCTCTACAGGACCTGTATCATTAGATGTCCCACAGAGAGAAATTGAAATTTTGTAAAATAATCTGACATGAGTAACTAAAATTAGGAGATTGTCCATTGTGCCTCCAAGGCCCCAAGTCCAAAATCAAATTGTTCTATTGAACTAGTAATCAATTTTCTTATCAAAGTTCAAATGTAAAATAGGCAAGATGTGTTTAGTGTGAACAAATGTTGCAACGTCAGTTAATGCTTGCAAACTCAAAAGCAAATCTAACAAATTTGGAGCTACATGCAAATAACTTGGTGCCAAACCGTAATACAAGATCACTACAGATGAAACAGATAAAAAGCAAGAACAGGAAAGAAGGACAATACAAGAAAAATAACTTGTTTCCTAGGGATTTAGACCATCTCAAATCACCAAGTGATTTATAGGGATTAATCCATTCATACAACATCCTTACTTTAGTCAAAGTTTTCATTTATAGAGATTAATAGTATTCAAGTGTTCATACTTCAAGGACACTCCAAGTGAAACTTCCCACTTCATGAGACCAAAAACAAAGATTGCCAAATTTGAAAGCTGATACCTAATCTGTATCTATTTCTTTTGACACGAAAGCATGAGAGTACAATGTTCTGGAAATGATTAAAGAGATATGGCAAAAAATTATGTGCATCAGAGAACATGAGCTCAGCGCACCATTTATTGGATACAGTCCAATTCTTCGCATCCTATTAGACTATTAGAAAGATCAGAGTCTAGGCACGGTACCAACATTATGTTCTCTTCTCCCCTAACAGTTCGTGAATGATCAATCATAAAGAACACGACATATAACAGATGGAGAAAAGAGGGGCTACCCTTTGATTTTTATCATCCATGTCTACAACAGTCGAGGTGTCAGTCCTCGGACTAGCATCTGCCATACCGAGTACTACTTAGCAGCTCCTAAGAATGAGACAACAAATTGCTTTGTTGTCTCTTGTTCACTTCCCTTATGGTAGGCTGATAAGCCAGCCTGCAGTTAGCACAACCCACAGTCCAGTGATCCACCCGCTGGACAGAGAAGCAACCTATCCATCACAAGAAACAAATTTCCAGGTATATCAGCGACATAATAAATTATATAAAGGTACAAATGGGAAAAAAATGATAGTCCATCTAAGCACTAGCATATTCATACCTCTACCAAAAACAGCAACTGGTCAGAGTTAACTGCATGTTCCCAACCTGGAAAGATTAAGAAAAAGCATTTAGCTGTGGTTAACTGAGAATCATGGTGGTGACACCTTCCCGAATGCCACATCCTGTCAATAGCAGCTCATAATTCCAAAGACAATCAGTACAGCAACACATCATTTGGACGTAAGGTATGCAAAACAGCAAGAATGTTTTTTTAGTTCCAAACGTTAATTAATAGGCATAGTCCTAAATTTCCCAGCTCATGCGATTATGCCCCAGCTTGCTTAGCTTTGTGGAAGCAAAGACCGTCCTAAAAATTTAAAACCACAAGCTCAAGCATGGATGAGTATAGCTACAGTAAATTTGGAAATAACCCATTCACTCACACGAGAAATGTACGATATCAGAAAGTGCTAATAAATTAGTGGAAGCATAGAACATGCAGGGAGGAGCTCATGCAGGTTCGAAGGAGGTAGCCTGGAAGCCGACAGAGCAGCTTTCAATAACTCAACTCGTAACGGAAAGCCGAAGTGATGAATCACCTTCCCAAATGATATTGCCTTAATAACAGCGCCAAGCTCTCCGAAGCAAGTACGAAACGAGGACAGCAGGGCAACACAGTGACACAGGGGACGACTCAGACGTGGGGTATGGGGATTCAATTCCAAATTACTCCGTATTTCAGAAAAATAAATGCCCGCGCACCTCGGCTACCACGAAATCGTCATGTTGTGTCAACTGAGGTTGATCTTTCGCTCTGGAGTAGAAGAACCTAATCGAACCGTGCATGGATGAAAACTCGGAATCCTTCCTTCAGCAAACAAACGAAGCTCTTATAAGAGTTCAAAGAATCAACCCAGCAAGCTAGGGTTACTTACCGAAATGAAGAAATCGAACCAGGTCCGGATGGATCTCCACTCCGCGCAAGTCCAGTTCCAGCAGAGGGGAGCGAGGAGCAGGTGAGCAAGTGCTCTGTACAAGAGACGACTTTCGGAGCAAAGGGGCTGGCTTAGTTTATCCGGTCGCCGGCGGTTAGGTTGCCGATGACGAGGCACCAAAAGCTATGATGGGGAGAAGCAGAGGAAGTTCTAAGCAGGAAAGGGATGGAATTGGAGCGGCAGAAATCAGCGAAGACGAGTAGCGGAGGGTAGGACGAGGTGGAAGAAGGCTGCACGGGGATTTCTCCCGCACAGTGAATCGGGAAAGCCGCCACCGCTCCGTGACATCACACCGTGGACTCACGCGATGGTGGGGGGAGAAAAGCCTCTGCAGGCTGCAGCACGTCTCCTTCCTCCCCTTCGTTTGCTGGTTTGACAAAAACAATTTCTCTCGTCTCTGGTTTGACGAAATAATTTTTCTCATCTCGGCGTACCACCATGTGGTAAAGAATAACGAGAGTATACAGAGCATCTCCTTTGTAAATCCACTTTTTAATCTTGTTCTTGATACGGTACAAAAAAGAAATCAGATACTCACTCCATTTTAAATTAAAAGGCTGGTGTTAGTGGAGATTTCATATACATTAAATAAGCTAACAGAGAGAATAAAATTTTCATAGGATGTAATGAGTTTTATAGAGACGAAACTTTTTTATTGTTTACAAGTAATTAACCTTTGGAGCATCTCCTTTGTAAATCCACTTTTTAATCTTGTTCTTGACACGGTAGAAGAAAAGAACTCAAATACTCCTTCTATTTTAAATTAAAAGGTCAGTCTCGGTAAAGATTTCATGACCATTAAATAAACTGATATGGTATAGTTTAAATGAAGAGAGAGAATAAAAAATTCATAGGTTAAAGTGAGTTTTAGGAAGATGAAACTTTTATATTATTTGCAATACATGAAAGTCTTGGAAATTAGGATATAAAACTGACGTAAGACATTTTGGCTATCTAGAAACAAAATGTCTTGTTCATTATCTTATCTGTATCAAACGTCTTAGTCATTTGGCGCATACTCCCTCCATGGCTTCATCCGCAAAGGGTGTAATTCCATCTTTCTGCCAAATCAATCTACCTTAATTTGACCATAGAGAAATTTTACTCTGGGACACTGGGAACGCCGGTCCACATCGCTAACATCAAGCGTTGTAGACTGGCCAATTATTGTGATGTAAATAATATTATCGGTAATCGAATGTGGTCTAACACGTGATGACACATGATTTATACTAGTTCTGGCAACATGCTCTATATCCAGTTTCAGTCGGTCGGTGACTTTATTTCCGAGCCCGGATGCTCGAAGTTTGCTGTGAGGTTACAAACGAGTAAGGAATAGGAAGGGGATGTTAGAGGCCCGGTCAGACTCTGAACCGAGTAGAAGAGAGTGACGGATGCTCAAACGTGCGCTAAGTATTGGAGCGTATGCTCTGTGTGTCCGAGCTTATCAGCTGTTGAGAGCGTGTAGACTGTGTAGCTGTTGAGTTCTAGAGCTGTTGAGTTGTCGTGTCCTCGAGCTGTTGAGCTGTCGTGTTCTAGAGTCCTCCCGTCTAGGAGAGAGCGCATCCCCTTTTATAGTTGAAGGGAATTGCCTTACAAGTCAGAGAAAGAGAGTGTGTGTATACGGGCGCTGCCTAGTCTTGTTGCCCCACGCCATCGGGTACGGGATGGGCCGTCGTCACCTGCCATACTGTTTACGCCGTCATCGCCCACCCTACTGCTCATGCTCTGTTGTATCTGGCAGGCTGCACAGTGTTCGTCTAGTATGGCAAACGTCGGTGCCCACAATACTGTTTATGCTCTGACGCGTCTGACAGGTTGTACAGTGTTCGTCTGACATGGCCCCACGGCACCGTCCTACAGATGTGTAGGGCATGGCAGGGTACGGTCCTCGGTATTGCGGTTAACTTGAGCGTCTTACCTTATCTGCTCCGCCTCCTCCTCGGACCTACACCGAGCGAGCGTCCTCGGTCGGTCGTTCCCAATCGGCCCCGACCGTGTCGGTCAGGAAAGAGCAGCGAGCAGAGGTCCGACGTATCCTCGGTCGGAGAAAGGGGGTCGGAGTTGGACTGCGGTCCCACCACGGCCAGGCCTTTCGATCGGGGCTCCGAACAGATCTCCTGGCCGGAGGTGCCAGTCGAGGACCGGATCATGGTCTCGGCCAGTCATTGTGTATCTGGGCCGACCCAGACGTGCGTTGTCGCTACGGCGCCTGCTGGGCCAAGTATTGCAGGGAAGCGGGTCCATTGGGGACCCTGGGTTTATGAACCCGATAGGAGCCCCTGAGCCCCTTTGGGGCATCTGTGAAGCCGTGAAGGGGCTGTTGAGTTACCGCTTTTGAGGGCGCACGGGAGTACGATGCTAAAAGATCTCTCGTAAGGAGAGAGCATCGTATGTATCGAATGGCCCATGTCCCGGATTCTGGATCAGAGGACAGAGAGAGGGAGGAGAGCATTGTAGCGAAAGAACAAGGATCTTGGCTCCGTTGTTCCACTTTATGCCCCAAGGTGCGGAGCAGTCCCGGGACTGTTCACACACGCTTTGCGTGTTATTGTAAAAGTATGGGGCTTGTGTCTTTAGCTTAGTGACAGCTTGTATTTGCTTTTTAATTCCTGTGCCCATTGTGCCGTGGAGGCGGACTGTTATTGGAACTTTGGTGTTTTCCCCCTTGGTTTATTGTACTGCGTAGGGTAACCGAGTAGGATTTAGGCGCCCAACCTCTATGTAGAGGAATGACAAAGGCCGTGGAGGCACGCAGAGTGGATACGGGCGCCCAGCCTTCATGGGGAGGACTGGCGAAGGCCGCGGAGGCGCGCCAGAGGGATATTGGCACCTAGCCCTAAGGAGGGGACTGGCGAAGGCCGCGGAGGCGCGTCGTGCAGACATAGGCGCCCTGCCCCTGAGGAGGAGACTCGCTGGTAATCCATTTTTCACCGGGTGCGCGTGAGCTCACCCAGTGGGTGTAGCCCCCGAGCCTACGGCCGACTGGGGAGT